AATTTTAAACACTGAATTTTTTAACACCGAAATTTAAACACCGAATTTTTTTAACACCGAATTTTAAACACTGAATTTTTTAACACCGAAATTTAAACACCGAATTTTTTTAACACCGAATTTTAAACACTGAATTTTTTTAACACCGAATTTTAAACACTGAACTTTTTTAGACATTGAATTCCTCACGCTCAATTTTTATCTAGTAAAAAAAAAATTCACCAGAAAAAAATTCAGCTGCAAAAATTCAGCCGCAAAAGCGTTAACCTTTTGGTGAACTCAGGCCAAAGCAATCTACTATCGATAGAGTCGAGCAGCTTCTAGCCAATGAAATTAGTTCATTTGGTCACGTGACACAATGGCTGCGCTCAGCGCTGTTCTGGCTGAATGAGGATTTTTTTTTTTTTTGTTAAACAGAATTACAAAACTTCAGTTAGCTACTAATAGACAGCTATTAGAGTTTTTCCTCTTATTAGACTGGGTGAAACAACTGAGCCCATCACAGTTAGAATGGCACCCCTGTCTGCCAAGGCTCTTGGTTTGATCCAGAAGAAGCGGCCGGCGGCAAACCGGCCGCTGGCCAAAATGAAGAAGGAAAAAAAGTTTGCTGGTGGCCGAATTTCATTGGCTAGAAGCTGCTCGACTCTATCGAGTGTAGATTGCCTTGGCCTGAGTTCACTAAAAGGTCAACCCTTTGGCGGCTGAATTTTTTTGGCTACATTTTTTGCAACTGAATTTTTTCAGGTGAATTTTTAACAAGATAAAAACTGAGGGTAAGGAATTCAATTCAAATTCGGTGTTGAAAAAATTCAGTGTTTAAAATTCGGTGTTAAAAAAAAGAGACTTTTTTTTCTTCCATAAATCATCTACCTATAAATATTTAAATGTCTGTGAAAAAATCCTGATCATTCTTTAATAAGATCCTCGCCAAACAGACACACAATGGTTTTTTTAAAGCTAATGTGTGAAGTGGACCTAGTGAAGGAGTTTTTTGTTGTTTTATGCGTATTACTGAGGCTAAGCTAGCCTGACGCCGTATGCTGAGCTGACCGGTTCTGCAGGATCCCGGTTCTGTAAAGGAGACAAACTCACGAGAAGGCCTCCTTGAAGTCGTTGGGTTTGATGCAGCGGACGTAGTGAGGCGTCGTGGCGTTCAGAGTGTCCATTAGGAGATGCAGCGACGAGCGGAACTGAAATAGAAACAAAGTTCAGAACCAGACCCGGAAAAGTCCGAGGAAAGTTTCTGTAGAACCGAACCCACCTGATGTCCCACAGTCTTCCTGTGCTCCTTGTTAGGAACCTTGGGGACGGTTTTCAGGGAGCGGACGTTGACCTTGGAGGATTTGGAGGAGGGAAGGTCATCCTTCTCTTGGAACAGGTCAGCAACCAGTTGGAACTGGAAGGAAACAGGTGGAACATGGGTTTAAACTGGGCCCAGGTCATTCAAACCTGGTTCTGGTTCTGGTTCCCACCTGGCTGGCCTTCAGGATGTTGATCTGCTCCTCATAGACGGTGTCTCTGTTCTTCTCCAGGAAGCCTTCACACTGATACTCCACCTGCAGGATCCAACCAATCAGGACAAAGATGAGAGGAGGAAAAACCTGCGAACCTCTGAGCTCCGGACGGGACTTTGTTACGTTACTATTGCAAAGAAAATGTTCTATAAACGGAAATTAGACAAAAATGCAATCTAGAAATGAAACTTAAAAAAAAAAAGAGAGGCTTGAAACAAACAAACAAATAAAAAAGAAACAATACATTTGCTAAATAAAAATATGAACAAATAAACATTTGAAATAGTCTTTAAAAAGTCAAATATAAAAAAGTTCAAATTTTATTTGAAAAGGATAACATAAAAACATAAATTATGAAACTGAAAATAAATAAAATATGAATTTAAAACAACAACAAAAAAAGGCATGAGAAAACAGCAATGCTTTAAACCCCTTTTAATGAATAAAAAGTTGTTTAAAGTTTCTTTTTTGGATTGCATTTTTTTATGGACACCCTGTCTACTTTTAAGGCTAGACTTAAAACTTTCCTTTTATCCTGAGCTATCTCTATAGTTCTGC